ACTCACCAAGCCCAAAGTAAAGTAATTAAAGAAAAAATCACTGCGTCTAGCAGATTTGCGATGAGCATTAGGACTGTGGATTCTCATTTTATCTTCAGATTTATAAAAAACTCTAAAAAAAATATTAAATACTATGTCATATTTGTTGCTATTTTTTGTAACCTATAATGCTATCTTTAATATATACCTGCTGGGTGCACCAAGACTGCTTGCAACATCTTGACAACTATCTCCAAATAATAATTCTCTTGTTATTTTTTTCTTTCGTGGTTCAAGTATCCTTGGAGAATCTGAAGCAAGTTAAAATTGATAATGTTTGCCTTTCATTGTTTCATCCAAACATTTGTTTCATTTAAAACTTCCATCTTGAACAAGCAATTACAACTTTTCAAGTGAATGTTTCATATTTTAAAATTTATTTCGTTTAAATATTTATTAAGTTTGCCTCTTACTCAACTTAGGTTTTAAGTTTGCCTCTTACTCAACTTAGGTTTCTTTAATAAAATACAGCAACATTGAGCTCCCAACCAAAAATTTTAGAAATAATATGTTATGTACTTCTGATATAATTATTCAAATTTATGATGATTCTATTTACTTTAAGGCGCAATGTTGCAAGTCAACACATATATGAAGCCAAAATTAAATTAAAATGAAAAATCAATTTGTTTGAAATACTAAAACTGATTTGATGGAAATACTTTACCTTCCATATATAAATGCATTCTCAGGCCTCTAGTTTGTCCATGACTACGAAAAACTTCGGCCCTTTCAAGATATAATTGCTGGTTGTAACAAGTGATGGGCAGGTTTGGGGGTCTGGCTTCTGGAGCACTAGGGCCACAGTATAACGAACATCGAGATACCACTGGTGATGCACCATTTGGAAAATGTAAGGAACCCAAACCATGTGCATAGCCCGGCTATGAATAATTTATACATTCAGTGTTATAAACATTCTTATTATCAAGTAAAATTGATGTTTAATATTATTAAGACAAAATAAAAATCATATAACGTAAGAATTATAGAATTACACCATTAAGTATTCTTAACTTTAACTTCTAATTCTTTAATAAAAGAAAAAATCTATGTGCTTATGTGTAAAAAATTATTTCTTGAATATTTTCTTCATTAAAAAATTCAAATTTAATTTTTGCTCATTTTGTAGTGTACTTATCAATGAAAATAAATCAACTAATGCATAATATTAAATATAGATAATAAATACGACAGAGTTCCACTAGATAACCATTACCTGCAGTTTGCTATCTACTGGAAAATAGAAACTGAGACCACGAAAATGCAAACAAAATAACTGCTTATTTGCATCATAAACTCCTGGATGGGTAGCTCCAAAAGAATGTTCAACTTGCTCGATAGACGGTAAAACAGTTGGAGAGTTAAATGGAAGACCACTGAAAAATTATAGTATATAATTAATTGCGTGAATGAGATATGCACAATCTAATAGATCATTCATAACAAGTATTTGAAAATAAAACTTACAACAAATTACAGAATTTTAAGAATCATCTTAATTAGATTCAAAATTATTTTATTCTAACATTGATTATATATTGACTGTAGATATATTTAAAATTACATCAAGCATATATAATATTAAAACAAATCATTCTTAAGAAATACATACCAATATCTAAGCTTCACTAATTTCAAATTATATATTTCAATTAATTTTAATCTTTGCACAACCGGGTCGAATACCAAGCGTATTCCATCATGTGGTAAATTTATGGCCAAATCAACAGCTAGTGGACTCTATAAATGATAGCACAATAATTAAACGATATAATTCTGTTTAACATAAGAAATATTTGATATTCACCGTGTCACTGTATAAAACTTGCACTCCTCTGATAAGTCCGACTTGTGATTGAATGATAGCAACAGCTTGGGAAAAATGCATACCTATAAATAAATTTCCGAAAGAATTAAATTATGCAAAAAAAGGAAAAATAATGCCAGAATAAAGGAAGAAGTGAGTTTTCCATAATATGTTTTATTTTAGTGTGTATTTTTTTATTTGGTTCTTTAAACAAATTGAATCTCGCATGATTACTCTTTTTTTTAAGGTGTTTATATATTTTAAACAACATGATTTTAGTTTTCTAAGCGAAAAGTTTTCTCTTTTTACAAAAGATAATACTATAGTATTGAATTTTTATTTGTAATTATTTCTATATGTTTCACAGATGTGGTTCCTGAACTTTAAAATATTAAAATTAATAAATTAAATTATGGATTCACTTTTTTGAACCATAAGACATTTTTAGTTTAAATTATAATTTTGATATATATATATATATATATATATATATATGTATATATATATAAATGGTGTATTTATATTTATTTATATACAGTCTTGTAAATGTATATATGTATATAATACCATGCATGGTATACCATGCTATATGTGTATATGTTTTGATATAATTTATTAAAATAAAGTGAATTTCAAGTTCACAAGTTCAGTCGTAGATGCAAAAATATCTTTTTCGGAATACAAGAAAAATTATCGTCATTATGCAAATAAACATACAATCATGATAATAATAAAAACCTAAATTTTTATATGTATATCACTTTTACTGGCACCAATACGTAACCAACATCAACACAAAAAACCTTGAAATGTGACGTTTGGGTGACAGTTCACATATTTGATAACAACTTGTTTACAATCAGCTAATTATAGTGATATGATACAAATGTTACATACATGAACTTTTTTTAACATTAGATGAAAATGAAAAAATCGCATGAATTTATTCTGTACCTAAGTCTAATTGATGATGATAGTTTATAATAAGGTATTGAACAGAAAGCGTTCATAATAAACTTACCCAAAACAAACTCCCATTGCTCGCATCCCAAGGACCGTTCAGGTACCAATTCTAAATCCAACATGTCTTATTAGTTTAAATAAACAATGAAACTCTAAATCACTCAAAATCAAATGCCGTTTGTTTAATAAAGTATTTTGCGCAACTCTTTGTTCAAACTACGTACGATGGTTTACAAGCGGCCATTTTGAATCATACGACTGACATTTCACAGCTGATTGCTGTATTTTTGTCAGCGAGCTGTTTACTTTTATCACACACACAAAGCAATATATGGCGTATCAGACAATATCTTACTTTTGCACACACATGTAGCCTTGAACGGGCTTAGTCATAAAAAATTGATAATTCAATACGATCTTGATTATTATTTTACTTGTATGAATCTTGATATAATCATATTTCTTTGAGTTTTCTTTAAATTAATTCAAATACAACATCTAAGACTTCGTTTGAAAACTATAGTAAAATACCCTGAATAATATACTTAGAACATGAATTTAACACAAACTTCGTGAGAAAATTGCGTATGAAATTCCAAAATTCCAATTTTCGAAACTAAACATATTTATTAAGTATGAATCAGCATATATATTATGTGTATATAACACTTATATTTAAGTATTTGACTCCATAATGCATAATACGAATGTACATGTATTGCATATAAATGCATTTATTCCTCAAGCTGCAAATTCTTACTAACTTATAAATATTCAGAATTTGAATATGTGTTTCTTATCAATCATGAATATTTACTTAATAATTTATCCCTCATGGCAAACGCATTATTTAACTTCATTCTTATAGAATCACCGCATCCCCTGAGTTTCATAAATCTGAAATAGCACAGCCCTTTTTTAACATCCTTTTCTAACTGATTTCAAAAGCAAAGTTGGTACTATAGAGATTGTACTCCCTATCACGTCAGCGAATCGATTCAATTGGAAATATGTGCTAAAAATATTTCAAGAAAACATTCGTTTGCCATAAGAATAGTCTTTTGCATCAGTTTAAATTTACATTAATATGTGATTGCTTTTATCAATATGCTCTTTATATTTTGAAATATGCTGAATAGGGTATATTATTTTGCTTTACTACCATTGCACAACTCTATAGTTTATGCCATAAATTCATTGTTTTACTAAAACAAATTTTCTTTATCGTATTCGGAAACTACTCTATTAAAGATTATGTATTTAATTTTCATTCATTGCAGAAAAACGTAAGGAAAACAATTATCAACAACAAAATCCTTATTCGTTCTTGATTCAATTAAATAAAACAACAAATTGATAGGCAAATTGTATTGCCATAAACATTATTTACAAATATTTACATAATTTTATTTTTACAATAAATAACTTTTTGTACTTGAAAAATGACTTGTCATGTCTTTAAACATTTTTTATAAATTTTTTTACGATTTTTTTTCTTACTCACTACATATAACAAATATAAATATATTTACACAATTCCTAATATACTTTATTATATATTTTAAATAACTAGAGATGATAACTTTGTTTCCAAACTAAATAAAATTCTCCAAAAAAGAACAGTTAACGATATTCGAGCTTATACATATACTTTATAATAAATTGTGAAGAGTATTATTATTAAAACTACTTATTTATAACTACAATGCTCCTCTCAAGGAAAAAATTACATCAGCCATCTTCAAGCTGTAAAAACAAACTCCAATTATAACAAATTTAAATATACATTGAAAAATACATTGAAGTTCACATCAAACTATTTGTATATTCAAAAATAATATTGGATATTCAACAACAAAAAGTAAATATGAGGAATTACAAAAAAAACTATTGGAATTATATAAAATAACATTGAATTCATCAATATTTTAAATTAACAACAATTATTATGAGTAAATAGAAATAAACAGTATAAAATTCAGAATTAGTTTAAGTTTAAAAAGTAAGTATGTATAACTCAAGTTACTCGTAAGACACACTATAATAATTGCATATTTATATTAAACAAAAATATATAATGTGTATTTTTAGTAAACAAACGTATTAAATACATTTGTCTACTGATATATTTCACATTATATAAAATAATTATCACAATCATATAATAACATCTTCGTAATAAAGAATGTACTTATGTACAAAATTAAGTAAGTTTGCATATTCCATTTCATTGGCAGAATAATGCAATGGACATTGTCAATATACTTATAATAAATTAAACTAATATTAATACCTATATTAGAATTCAATCTCATTGTAGAGACTTAATAACACTTATAACTAATCAGGAAATTTTATCCAATGACTCACCCTACTTTTACCATAATAAAGAATCTAATTTCATCATCGCGAGAAGTCTTGTGAATTTCTTTGGCTAGCTTTAGGACCTTTACTGTCAAAATTGGTAAGAGAAGTATTTGCCATTCTTTTCTTGAGTTTTTGCTGCTTTTTCATATTGCTTTGATGATTATATCTGTTGTTATAGCAGAAGTCATTGTCTCTTTCTAAATGTTGTTTCCTCTCATCAATATTGTTATAATCTCTGTTTCTACTATTTCTACAATTAATGTTATCTTTGTTTTTCTTAGGTGGCACATTAGGAAAAGAACGCCTAATTCTGCTTGTTGTATGATTAACCCAAGTGTTGCCTGTTCCTAATGGCATTTGATGATCAGGTCCACTCGAACAACCTGATCTGTTGTTATTTGGAGAGTTATCACGACTTGCAGGATTCGACTCCTAAAAATCATTTTCAGCAAATAAAAATACGACATCATTAAAATATTTATGTAAGATTAATATTACTCACTGCTTCACTGTCCATTGGCGAATCACCACTACTGTCTAGGCTACAAGTACTGCCACCTCCTCTCTCACTAGCTGCACGTAATGCATTGTTACGAATTGCATATTTTCCTTCAAACATATCTGCAACCCAATCTCGATATTCTTTCACCTGATTATAAAAATATAGTGTTGTGATATTACAGCAAATTATATTAGTTTTGAAGTTGGTGTAAATAATATTTATATATTTATTTCATAATTTCCGAAATTTGACTGAATGAATATTACACAATATGTCACATGCAAAGAAATGGCAAAATATTAATTATAAGAATGGTTCATATTAAAAATGATAACATAATTTGAAAATTATTTTATCTAAAATTGAAGAAACTGTTTATGACATTTTTAACAAGTGAATATTATTAGTGTACATACCTGATCTGTAACCAATATTATTCGGCCTAATATTGAATGTTTATTACAATCATTAAAAATATCATTTAATGGTGAAACGGCTTGCGTTAATATAATATAAGCATAATCAAATGCCTGTTTAACTTGCAATGCTCCATAACTTGATCTTCCAATGTCATTTCCTGGAGTCAAAGGATCTTCTATAGATAATAATGAAGGTCTGTGCCCATCTACCATATCCTTTTGCATATCTTCTTTTCTTATATAACTGCCACCATTTTTAATACTGATTCCTAATGGACAACAAATAATACCTTATAGCTGTTATATAGAAATATAGTCATAAATATATAAAGTATCTTCATCTAAGCAACTTGAAAAATATATAAAGAAAGAAACTGAAATATAACATCACATTATAGAAAGAACACAATGGTTGCTGATTGGATGAATTTGAAAACAGTCAGTGGAATAATGTGCAGGAAAGTAAAAAATGCAGTCAATCATAATAACTGAAAATTCAATACTAAAATAATCTTTTGTTTATAAATATTTACCTGTTTTTACATAATTAAATTTACGTCCATATAATTCAAAAAACTCTATGAGAAGTACAGCTAAATTAGATTCATTATTGAATAAATCTCTTCTTGGATGTAACTGTAAAAAACTAATGCACATTAAAATCAGACTGTATGATGATATTCCTCCAGTGAAGACTTCATTTAAATCCCTCTGAAGTAGAAATTGTTTTAATACAAGCACTAATTTTGATAAAACGGGATATTTGCGCTTATATTCTTTTATCAATTCTGCTGACTGTACACCACTAGACATGTTAAATGATATGTCAACTTTCACCTGAAAAGATTTTTATTTTATTGAAGTTCTGCAAATAAAGTAATTTACAAAAAAATGAAAAGTTACCTGTGTCTCTCTGTCTGTGAGTTTAACAATTGGTACCGAAGCTTTATCTAAAACTTTTACAGTGTTCTGCTCAGCAATGCCTCTAACAACTAATTCAGACTCAAGTGTGTGCAATGGTAATCTTTCCCATCGGCCTAAGATTCGTTTAAAAAAAAAAAAATTAGATTTAGGAAATAATATTAAGCAAAAATATATAATAGAATTTTTAAATAAAAGTTCTGTTATGTATAAATAAAATATTAGACAAATCGAAACTCATTAATTAAACGAATATTTATTGTGTATTTAACTATATTAGTAATATTATAGAATAGCTTAAAGGATTTAGATCTGCAAAAACTCATTAATTAAACCAATATTTATTGTGTATTTATTATTGTATATTAGTAATATTATAGAATAGCTTAAAGGTTTTATAACTGCAGGATACATTAGACATACTATTAGTGACTCAGAAATAAAAAATAACGTTTTTAACAAATTACAATATGCATGGTTTGCGGTCATATATTTATTACAAAATAGTAATTTTCACACCTGTCCTAAAATAATCAACAAAAAAACATAGGATTGAAAAAATGACTTTAAAATATCAATTCTGATCAATTTTGGGAGTATATTAAAAAGCAATAAAGTAATAATTCTGATCGTGCAGCAAATACGCCAGAAATGTGATAAGAATACATATATAAAATTACTAATGAATTTCATATTATGAGATATATTAATGTGGAACACTGTAGGCGTACATATTGCGCTCGGCCTTTTTTCAAAATTTTAATTTTTATAATTAAATCACTTCACATCGGCCTATGATATTTTAAGGTGTTTTCGTTTTGACTATCAACTCCATCACCCAGAAGAGTATACCTTTATTTATGAGTAAGCCTGAGGTTTCTTTCGTTGGTGACAAACAAAATGCAATTATATATTTGCTATGTTTTTTGAAAGAATTTAATTTACCTAAGACTACAAGATCGATGTCACTTGTAGGAAGATATAAACCAGTTCGGAAGGAGCCGAAAACTTCGACTTGAGCACATGGCCATAAATCCAGGACGACGCTCTCGATTCGCGAAACCACTTGTAAACGCAGCGCATGCTCTGTGGGCGATGGTGACATATGCTGATAGAAATGCTCAATCTCATCATGTAACCTAGAAATTTAATTATATCAGTTAGAAAAAATGAATTGTGCATTATTAATTTATTTTATCATCTATATGATTGAAGTGCTCCTATTCACATATTTTAGCAACTAAACGGAGAAAAAATCTCAAAATTATTACATATTATCCCTCCTAGACAAGGCACATGCACAAAGATAAGTTTAAAAATATCAACTACGTGTTTTACCATTATGATTTTATCAAAATATTATATATGTCTGAAAATAACAACTACGTGTTTTACCGTTATGATTTTATCAAAATATTATATAAGCTTGTCAAATATCCGCCTTTTTGTATTATAAACCAAGAGCAAAAAAGCGGACGGGAGATATTTGACAATTTAATATATGTCTTCAAATATAATATTTTTCGTTCTCATTATTAAATATTAGTAAAACAAAAATATTTGTTAGGTAATTCATTCATTAGTGCGTGGGACAATGATTGATGATTCGTTAATATTTGAAAATCACAGTTATAACACACTCAATGCTGATTTATTACACGCTTTTCCGGTTTATCGGGGATCTTTTATTTCAACCCTGGTATTTTTCGAAATATGGATGAAATCGTGGTAGAAAGAGTGGAATTTGCGAAACAAACCGGTTTAGATCAGGTAAATGTAGAAGATGCCAATGATATAGTTCAAGGAAGAGTAGTCTTTCTAATCATGATCTATAGCTATTTACTGAGAAGAAGAAAACAATAATATGTAAGTTCACCTCGGAGTACCATATGGAGGTTTTGAGACAACTTTTGGGGTAACAATACACAGTATTTACAGACTTACAGCTGGGTATCTCGAATTCCGAGATTCTTACCTAATTTAAACTTAAATAACTGGACTATTCCAAAAGATCAAAAATATATTAATATTCAATAATAGTAGAATATTTACAGGTGTTTATAAATAGATCAAAATGACTGAAATTATAAACCAATTTGTTGAAAATGTACGCTTAACAACTTTTAAAAGAACGCAGAAGACACATTAGAAAAGAAACACACAATTTCGATAGAACGATGGGGGCTGAATTAGAATTTCATTGAAATATTTTAGTATGTATATTCGTTTATATTATTTTTATTCTTGTATAAAACAAATATTTGATTTTGTTTCACATTTATTAAATTGTGATACGTAGCCAATTTGCTGTCGATTTTTTCTCAAAACCCGTTATTCGCATATCCCCATCTAACGCTGTTTTACTTTACGCCCTGCTTTGATGGAACATAACCCCCGCGTTAAAAGCGGGGCATTACTATTACTGTTTTCCTAGTTAGGTGCTTGCTCTGTTATTTAACCTTCCTACGCGTTTTTCGGATCATATTAATTAAAAGTGAAATTCTAATCATTATATTTCTTATTAATGTCAGTTTAAAGATAATTGTTAATTACATACGATTAAGCTGTACATTAGTACCGGAAAAATAAATTTTAAATCTAAATTTCAAATGATGTATTAAAAAAACTACAATGATTAAGAAAGCTCAAAGGTTAAATGCTCTAGTTAAAAAATATATTTAAATTAATTTGGTAATTAAATTAAACAAAAGTTAGTCATCTTATGATCGTTAGCAATGCGTTGATATGAATATTAAATGGAACGAATTAGGTGATAATTAACAGAAACTTCACAAAAATTATCAAAAATAATGATAATATTACAATGTTATACAGTTCTTGCATAAATTGATCTAAGATTGGATAATTAATATGCAGCAAATTATTATTCATTCAAATGAAATCTTTATAAATTTTAGCATAAAGAAATGATGTTGCAATAAAGAAACATTTTCCTCAAAAAAATGTTTTATATTCAAAATAATATAAAAAACATATGAATCGCCATCTTCCACCGACAATAATCATGGTAACATCTCAAACCTAATATTCAATCCTAAAATTTTAATATTTATAATATAAATTTTATATATAAACCATATGTAAAAAGTGTTTACAACAACAATTTGTACATTTTGCCACTGGAGGGGTCTACTAATTTGTAAACAACTATTTAACCATATACTTATCAGCATTCTCTGCTAAATGTAATAATTTTGCATAGTAAAATTGAATAAAAGAAATTAACCGTTTTTAAGTTAAGGAAAATAGTTAAAATTTATTAATTCTTGAAATGCTTCTACAAAAGTCGTGTAGATTGCTAAATAAATAATAAATTGTACCCATTAATACGAGACAACGAATAAACAAGGAATGAACTGCGCATGCACAGATTAAGCAGCAATTGCGTTTTAACGCAACTTGACATTCGCCAACGCTGCTTCCACCTGAGAAGAAAGGACACTAGATAATCCACCCAAGTGCAGAAGGAACAGCAAATATTTTTCTGCGCATGATCTAACTATTGCAAACTGATATTTCGTTCTCATAGAAAGAATTTTTCTTATATCGTTGGCTTTAGTTCTTTGACTGACAACGAGTAATAAAGTATATGAAAAAATCGATTTTAGGAAAAAATAATCCCGTCGATAATAATTCACATTGAACAAAATGAACAATAGTATAACATAGTATAGTAACATTACAATAGTTATGCATAGATTCTAAAAACGCGAATGCTTTAAAAAAGAATGAAAACAACGATAAGATGATTCAATTAAGCTTGTACTGTACTGACTAAAAAATAAAATTTATTAAAGATTAAGTAAATTTTAATTTATATTAGTCATTTTCAGAATGATGTTTTTACAACGAGCATATATATATATATATATATATATATAATACTATACGCACAATTTTACGCGGCGCTATTTACATGTGTATTGATTTCGTTTTGGCACCGTCGATTTAGCCTTGAACTGTGTGCATTGAAATGAAAAGGATTTTACAGAACGCTTACTTATATTAAAAACAAACGACAAAATTGGGCGAATGCTCTCTTGAAATTCATTGATATATATTCTTTAAATTAAATCAAATTGTTGATTTCAGGTTCCGGGAAAAAATATTTTATATTGATAAGATAATAAAAATATAAGTAAACCATTACTATAACTATAACTAGGGGTGCATGGCATCGTGCCTTAAGGCAAATTGCTGCAACTTCCCGTACAGTAAATAAAATTTGTACAAAATATCTGATATTTCTGTATAAAATATCTAATGAACTTTCCCGTAGGGTTATAGTAATCGCAAAAAAATCGAAAATGAAAATTTTTACGTAATAAATTATTAATAAATAATTATTACTCAATATATTATTAATTATATTACGTTTCAGGGGTTTCTAAACATTTTGGCATACCTTAGAAAAATTGATGTACCTGCGTATGTATGTGTATGTGTGTGTGCGGATACAAATTTTTGTCGACAATTTCAGGAACACGGATCAACCGATTTGAATAATTCAAAAAAACATCAGATTCGTATTGGGAAGGAGACGTGCTGATTAGTTTTTGGCGAAGGCAGGTCTAGCCGTTCTGAAGATACGGAGCAAAAAGTGTCAAAAACGGTAACTCAGTTTTTAAGAGAACGGAGCGTTCGATTTTAATAATTCAAAAAACATTTTACTTGTATTGACAAGATGAAGTACTGATTAAATTTTTCGAAAGGCAGATCCATCGGTTATGGACTATCAATAAAAATAAGTTAAGAAAATGTCATTTGGCGGTCAAAAATATTTATTGGACATATGTATTATATCAAATTATCAGATATTCTATAGAGATTTTAACAATGTGTACCCATTTTGTGTAATTTTGAGTTCCGTACCAAGATTTTTAATTACTGTACGGGAAGTTTCAGCAATTTGCCTAGAGGCACGATGCCATGCACCCCCCTAGTTTTTTAGCCTTTTTATTAGATCTCCGAAACTGCTGGACCTGCCTTCCCAAAAATGTAATTAAGCTCATTCCGTGAATACAAATAAAATGTTTTTTGAATTATTCAAATGGGACTCCATTTTCTCAGAAACTGAATTTTCTATGAAAGCTATTTTTGCACCTTTTGTCCTGTATTTTCGAAACGACTGGAACTGCCTTTGCCAAAAACGAAGTCTTCCAGTCAATAGGAATCGAATATTTTTAAATCATTTAAATCAGTTGAACCGTGCTCTCGAAATCGTAGACAAAAAAATAGACAAAAACATACATAGGTCCATTGTTTGAAATGAATGTATGCCAAAATGATCACAAGCCTTTAAGATATACAAAAATTTTCATTTTGGATTTCTTTTTTCAATTACTATAACTTCCCAAAATAAGTTACTAAAATGAATAACGAAAGTTAATAAAAGTTTAAATAGCACTGTATAATACAATGTTAATCATTTCAAATACTTTGTATATTCTGAAATAATTGACAAGATTTGTGAAGAATTGACAAGAATTGACAAATCGTATTATCATAACCCGGCGTCTATATCGAAATCCTCTGTCGCGATAATGTATCATAAAATATGATTAGATAATGGTTTACATAATGAGTGTTCTATATTTATTAAAAATTAATTAAGATGATGTATTCTAGTTAGATAGACAACTTATATATTGGCTGCAAACTATACATGCATATACAAATTTAGTTAAAATCAAAAATAAAACTAGTGGGGTGGGTGGCATCGTGCCTTAAGACAAATTGCTGGAACTTCCCGTACCGTAACGAAATGTTCGAGGAATACTGAATGTTTTCAAATAGATTATTATAAATATTGTAACATTGTCTAATATTTATAAGAATTATATAAACTGAATTGCAAAGTTGAAATTATTTGTTTCGGCAAAAAAACTAAAAAAAAAAAAAAAATGAAACAAAAATTTTTTTTTCCAAAATCAATTATTTTGTTAAGACAAGCAGAAAGTTTTTTGAATCATTCAAATCGGACGCTTAGTTCTTTCAAAAACTGCCATTTTTTACATATTTAGCTCCGTATCTTCGAAATGGCTGGGCCTGCCTTTGCCAAAAACTAATAAACACTTCTCCCAATCATTACTAATTGAATGTTTTTTAGATCA